TCTGTGCATACCTCTTTGTCATCAATCACTTCCTTTTCTACTGACTATCTCCCTCTTTCCCAGACAATCACGCCAAGCACCAGAACCCAATCTTGGCTTCTTTCTTGAGGCCCAAACACACGCATGTATAATTTCACCGTACCTAGAGACAACATTTAAAGCCCCAACCCACCACAGCTATTCATTTACCCAAAGATATTTATCCAAACATGAATAAAAATAAACCACTATGGGACAAGCAGTTAGTGTAATGGCTATGTTGCTGGACTCCCATGTAGTCAACCACGGTTTGAGTCCCGGACCCAGTGTCATGAACTCACGCCGGGCATGTGTGTGTGCATGCCCAAGATCCCGAGAGGAGAAGGTATTGCTATGTGGCAATTTCTCGTTTTCTTTCTCTATCTTTCTGGCAAGCACACACGCCCTATAGCAAACACCTCTTCAGAAAGGAAAATGAAAAGAAACCACTAAAAAATACACTGAATTGAAACATCAAAAAAATAATAGTAGGAGGCCAGCAGGGAGGCTTGGTGGTTAAGCCACTGGACTCCCATCTGGTTGATCAGCAGGGAGGCTCGGTGGTTAAGGCACTGGACTCCCATCTGGTTGATCAGCAGGGAGGCTTGGTGGTTAAGCCACTGGACTCCTACCTGCTTGATCATGGTTCAAAGTCCCAGACCCCCACCTTGAAACATGCTGGGCACATGTGCCTGTGTCCCCAAAATCCCAATTTAAAAAATGGAGGAAAAGAGATTGCAGTTGGACGTCCCCACCCCCAAGAGGGTGATTTCTCCCTTTCTGTCTCCGTGCCTCTCTCTGTGAAAAGCACACACACCCCATAATAAAATTAATAATGATAATAACAACAATCTACCAATCACTTAATAAGAGTACAATTTGATTTATTCTAACACCAACATGGTTCATGTTAGAACAAAATAAAGTGATACAGCCAGTTCCATCGCCTAGTGGTTAAGGCAGCTGGAACCTCATGTGGCCGAACATACTTTAAGTTTCAGACCCAGAGGCTGGAGAAATACACGAGTCGCATCTGTATACATGCCTAAAATCCAGAAAGGAGGGAGAAATGGAACAGAAAAGACTGCAGCATGACCATGTCCCCTGGAGGATGCTTTTTCCTCTCCCTCTGTCTTTCTGGTGAGCACATGTGCCTTCTATGCAAAAATAAAAATAAAAACCCTAAAATGGTTTCTGAAAAACAGAAGGACCATTTCAAAGGCCAAAAAACTACTAAGATCTCCTTGATTCTTTTGACAGAAATAAGTATACATGCGCATCTACATACACTCATAAAAAAATTGTAAAAAGATTATTCTTTTTAGCAAACTTACAGCTATGTTTATACTTTCTTGTTTTTTTTTATTTTTTTAATTTTCCTTCACACACATGTACTATTTTAATAAACAATAAATTCTCAGGTTATTTATATTCATAAAACTTCAGAAGGAGACTAGGGACAGACCTTTTTCCTATTGTTTTCATGTTTTTCTTTTATTTATGATAGAACATGTGTGTAGGCACAAGAGACCATGAGAAAGACATGGAGGGCATGGGGAGAAAGAACGAGAAAGCATCCCCAGTGAGGCCTGATCCTTCTTCCGCCAATTCTCCTTGCAGTCACCATCCTGAGCACAAACACGTGTACCTAGTGTGTTGCCAGGATTCAAATCCCAGTCCCTGAGCATTTTGTGCTTGTGACCTAGGCCAGATGAGACTGGGGGAAGGTAACGGCATAAGGTCTCCATTGGGTGGAGGAGGTATTTCTCACACATGGGCATGCATGCATTCTCTCTCTCTCTCTTTCTCTCTCTCTCTCTCTCTCTCTCTCCATCCATCCATCCTCCCTCCCTCCCAAAATTAAAGAAATAAATACCTTTTCCAAAAGAAAGGAAGAAAAACAAGAAGCTTGAACAAGTACTTCATGAAAGAAGAAACTGAAACAACTAATTAATATAAGGGAAGAATCACAATGTAATCTAAAACCACAATACTACTGCACACAGAACTGGAATGGCTAAAATTAAAAGACTTACAATACCAAGTGTTAGAGAACAAAGCATTGCTACAGAAAGGTATGAACTAGGAAAAAAAAAAAAAAAAAGTTCTGCTAAAGTTAACCCTGTGTGTACCCTATTGCCACTCCTATATATACACCCAACAGAAATGTACACTTCTATGCCCTGGAAACATGCTCAGACCATTAACAGTTTTGCACTTTATAAAAGACAAAATTAGAGATGATCAAAATGACATTATCAACAGAACAAAACGATACACAGCCACAAAAACAAACTACATCTACATACAGTACAGAAAAAGCTTAGAAATGCAAAAAGATGTCAATAAACCAAACATTTTAAAAAATTATCCCATGGGAACCAGCAGTTAGCGTAATGGCTATGTCACTGGACTCCCACGTAGTCGACCGTGGTTCGTGTCCCGGCTCCGATGGCTTAAATCTCACGCCGGGCGCGTGTGCATGCGTGCCCAAGATCCCAAAAGGAGAAGGGAGGAGAAGGGATTGTGGCATGACCAACCCCCCTGGGGGGTGATTTCTCGCTTTCTGTCTCTATGTCTCTGTCTGGCAAGTGCGCGCACCCTATAGCGAAAAAACCTTTCCAAAAAAAATAAAAAAAATTATCCCAGTTATGTGAAATTCAGAAAAAGTCCACAATGAGATATGCTGTTAAAGAAAAGAAGGAAATAATTACCATAAAGTCAGAACAATGGTTACCATAGGAGGAAAAGAAGACCCTATGACAGGTAATGAGGGCATAATTCTAGGGTCCTGCTCGTGTTTTCTCTTGATGTCATAAATGCTACATAGGTGTTTACTTTCAAATAAATCATAAGGGTTCGAAGTTTATGTTTTATGTGCTCCTACCTCATTGTACCTTCCACAGCTTTACAGAGAACAGGATATTTGTCTCTTATTTAAGTATCACTTATTAGTTATAAAGGAGAAAGAAACCTTGACTAGATTCTTCATGGGGAAGGGGGTGAAAGGTTACAATTAAAACTGGGAAGATTAGGGAAATTGGAATACAGGTATGCCTATCTCATAATAATATGTAAATGTTAAATTGCCTTATAATTAAAAGATACATGCTAAAATAATTAAAGCTGAACTCATGATACCTGCACCTTTCAAATGTTACAGCAGAGGCAGAAATAGAGAGACTGGGAAACATAAAGTACATGTGGCAAAAATACTAACTTCTGCTGAATCTTAGTGACGGATACCTAGGTGTTCACTGCACAATTCCCACCTTTCAAGAGGTAAGTTTTCCAATAAAACAATGGAATAGGAGGTAGATTTCAAAAAAAAAAATTCCTTTTTAAGAGTGATTTTTGCTATAGGGTGCATGTACTCACCGGAGACACAGAGAGAGACAGAAAGTGAGAAATAACACCCCAGGGGGATGGCCACTCCTCAATCCTTTCTTCATTCTCCTCTGAGGATCTTGAGCACACACACGCACCTGGCATGAGTTTCAAGCCACCAACTGGGACTCAAATCCTAGTCAACTATGTGGAAGCCTAACAACATAACCACTATGCTTTATGGTGGTCGCTCCCCCCCCTCCAAAAAAAAAATGTTTTTTTCAACAGGGGTTAAAAAGTACTAGGAGGAAGTAAAAAGGACTAGATAGTACAGAGTGGATTGTGTCCTCATTAAAAATGGCTAGGAAGACTGATACATACACTTTAAAATAAAAAAGATCTCAAGGTCAGCCAATGGCCTGGTGGTTAATAAAGGCGGCTGGATCCCACATGGCTGATGGTGCAGTTCAAGTCCTGAACCCGGCAGCCGGAATAATACACCTGGCATGTATGCATTCTGAGAGGAGAATGGAAAAGAGATTGTAGCATGGACATTCACACACAGGACATGTTTTCCAGCTTTCCTGCTCTTTCTCTGTCTGTCTCTGGTGAGCGTATACACCATGCACTAACTGTATAAGCTTAAAAAAAAAAAAAAAAAAAAAAAAAGGTCACATTCTATGAAAAAGGAAATATATAACCTTATTCACATATAATTTTTTACAAATAATCCAGGGCAAAGTTCCAGAAGAGCACATCTAAAACACTACTTTTGCCTGAAGTTAATGATGTGGGATAATGTTTTATATTCCAAATCTTTTTTTAAAAGGTTTTTGCCATATGGTGCAAGCATTCACTAGAGAAACAGAGGCAGTGAGAGAGAAAATGAGAAATTACCCGCTATGGGGATGGCCACACTGCATTCCCTTCTCCACTATTCTTCTCCAGGGATTTTAAGCATACACGCATGTACCCAACATTGAGTTTCAACCCAGATCTGGGTTGACCACAGTTGACCTTGTGGGAGTCCAATGCCTTAACCATTAAGCCATCTTCTAGCCCCATTCCAAACATTTTTACAATGTATTTTTGACTGAGACCAGCAGATGGAATAATGGTTGTGTCGCTGGATTCCCAAGTAGTCAACCACAATTAGAGTCCTCGACCCGGTAGCTTAAAACTCATGCCAGGCACGTGTGCATGGGTGCTCAAAATCCTGAGAGGAGAATGAAGAAGGAACTGTGGTGTGGCCACTCCTCCTGGGGGTGGGGTGGGGGTGGGGGTGATTTCCCACTTTTTATCTTTCTCTCTGTGTCTCTCCAGCAAGCGCATGTTCTCTCTAGCAAAAATCCCTCCCTAAAAAAGAGTAAAATAATGTATTTGTGTCTCAATGAATGTTTTGATAAAATGCAAACATCAGTCAGATGACCATATACTATGTTACCAATGAACAATTTGAATACTTATACAATAAGCTGACTTCAATTTGAAAAAGACCAGCATTAGAAAGTATTTACTTCCATTTCTCCTTTGAGGTATTATGGATTATTTGAAAGCACAACAAATTTTGGCTACTTCTCAACTGCCTAAAATAGAAACAAAAATAATGAATAACAAAAGATCCTTTACAAAACCACTGGTAAATATAAATATACCTCATCATATATGCTCCCATTAATATCTGCACCATAGATAGGTGCCACAAAGGTTAAGTTCTTCCAGTACTTGCGCTCCAAATCTTCATAATCCAGGTATCTGGGAGTACAGTATCTGTCAAAGATAAATTTTAAAAAGTGTAAGCCAGTGAAACAATTTTTAATAGTTTTCTCACTCATTTTATTTAAATCTTTTCCTAAACAAAAGTACTATCAAAATAAAATAATGCAGACAACTAGGTGAACACAAAATGTACTTACCATAGATATCAGAACACTCTTAAGACTCCTAAATAACTATATTCTCTTTACATTTTCATTAGTAGTAAAATACTTTCATGAAAATACCATTAAAGCAAAAAATTATTTTAAGTCATTATTTAGCTTTCAAAACAGGTTATAAAAGAGCACATATACTATGATCCTAGATATGCAAAAAATGCCTGTAATTGTACATTAAATGGCCAGAAAAAATGTACATCCAATAATTATTATTGCTCACACCAGAATAACAGAAAAGCACTTATTTGTCTGTGTTTTCTAGATTTTGAGCAATAATAGCACATATTAAAAAAGGTCAGTGTGGAGCCAACAGACAGTGTAGTGGTTAAGGCTCTGGAATCCTACATGGCCAACCACAGTTTGAATACCAGAGGCTTAAAAATCACACTGGGTACCTGTGTGTGCTAAAATCCCAGAAGGAGAATGAAGTCTCGAGAAGGTATAATGGCATGGCAACCTCGCTTAGGAGGTGATTTCTCACTTCCCCTCTCTCTGTCTTTGTCTCCACTGAGCACACATGCCCTTCTACAGTGGAGGGGGGAAAAAATACAGGGACCAGTAGTTGGCATAATGGCTATGTCGCTGGACTCCCATGTAGTCAACTGCAGTTCAAGTCCCAGACCCCGGTGGCTTAAACTCTCATGCTGGGCGCATGTGCATGCATGCCCAGGATCCAGAGAGGAGAATGGAGGAGCAGGGATCGGGGTGTGGCCATATCCCTGGTGGGGGAGGGGGTGATTTCTCACTTTCTGTCTCTCTGTCTCTCTCTTTCTGGCCCCCCAATGTCCCCTAAAAAAAAAACCCCCAAAAAAAAAAAAAAAAAAAAAAAAAAAAACAGAACAAGGTACAAACTAATTATAGGATAATCAACAATCATCTTTGCTATACTGGGGCCCTCAGGTATGTTATTGATGTAATAAGCAAGAATACCAAACAACTTAATTTGAAAACCATATTTAAAATTCAGAAAAATTTGCTAATTTACTCATAACACCAGAATCCTACACAAACCAATACTCTTTTCTAATGTGCAATAAAGCACCATTATCTAGATATTGTTCCACCAAGTCTATTGGTAGGTTCCAGTAGTATCAGGGATTCTAGGAATAAGCTAAACAAGGTAACCAGAGATCACAGGCAGGTGATAGACAGGTGCCCATCCCTACTCCTCAATATGAACAAACCGCAAGGAACGACAGAAAACAAAACAGCAGTTTCTTTACCAGCAAACTAGATGTCAGTAGGAAACCACCGGAAGAAGAGAAAACAGGAACAGCTGAGTGAGAGGACTGTACAGGAAGAGACTGCATGGAGACTATTTCTTTTCACAGATTTCTTCACTATTTCTATTTACTTAGTTTCTTACCACATTCATATGTATCATTGAAGGAAACACAAATAGCAAACTGATCCACTCACTTGCCACTGTTAGCCAGCTGCCTAAACTCCTTCACCGTCATGGCTTTTTTCTGGATGTTGTATTGTGTGAACAGTCCAGACTGTCCTGTGACCATCTGCTGAATCGGTGCTGGGATGAGCAAATTATCAATATCATCGTAGCACTTCCTTGGCTTCCACTCCTTAGGAGGAATCACCTAAAGATAAAATAATGAAATAAAATGTTATCTTGAAAATATTCCAGTTGTATTGAGCTTTCATGTCCCAGTAGAATACAATGAAGGATTTCTCAACATTTTAAAGGCAAATGGGTAAAAAAATAAATAAATAAATAACTGAATCATGAATATTCACCATACAGGAATACAATTTTTTAACAACCAGATTTATTGAACATTTACAATACTTAAATCATTTTGAGTTGGTACTCGTCACATCTCAATTTTTAAAAATAAAATTGAAAGACACACAAAAGTGAAACAAAGTGCTGAAGTTCTTATGGCTAAACACTAGAGATAAAATTCAGACTGAAACAGTATGATACCAGAATTCACACTCAACCATTATGTTATCAATAAAAGATAAAATTATGGCCCAGCCCTGGTGGTGCACACTGCTAAGACACTGTGCACCATAGACTGGGACCACACGGGAGGCCTGAGTTTGATCCTAAGTCCGACCTATCGGATATAATCTATATAATCTACCTGTAACTATGTGCTATTTATATTAATATGAGTAAAATAAGTAAATATTTAGTAATTTTTTTCCATAAGATGTGAGTGCTTACCAAGAGAGTGAGAGGGAAAGTGAGAAGTCACCTCCCCCCCACCAAGACAAATGGCCACGCAGCAAATCCTTCTCCACTCTCCTAGTGGGATTTTGGGCACCCATGTTCACGCACCCAGAATGATTTTCAAACTGCTGGGTCCAGGATTCAAACTACATTCAGCCATGTGGGAGTCCAGCACCATAATCACCATAACATCTGCTGATCCTAATAATATTTTTTTTAAACTATACAACACAAGTAATATGGCAAACAGCACGGTGGCATGCTAAAGTGTTTAACAACCAGCTTTCTGGGAAGGTGAAAGAAACTTCATTTATAGCTTTTGCCTATTTCCATGGTGTAAGTTACTCTCACCATGGCCAACGTGAACCTACAAATGTGACATCACAGGACATGAAGCTGGGAAGAGATGTGCACTAGCAACTTTCACACGCCAGTAAGATGTGACTCAGCACACCAGTTTTCCACATTATTTAAACACTTCATTACTAACAGTGAAAAAAATCCAAAAACATTAGGACACAAAATACACAAACATATGTAAAATCAGTTTTTTCCAGTTTGTCAGGGGAAACTCAGCCAGCTGGTGGCGTGGTGGTTAAGGCAGCTGGATCCCACATGGTAAATTGCCCAGTTTGAGGCCCAGACCCAATAGCTTGAGAAATACACTGTGCACATACATGCCCAATAAAGGATGGAGAGACAGAGGAGTAGGGACTGTGGCATGACCCATAGGAGCGTAGGGGTGCTTTCTCACTCCCTCTCTCTCTCTAGCAAGCCCACAGGAAGCAAAGAGAGGGAGGGAAAGATGGATCCAAAGGGACAAAGTCATGAATTAAGGCAGGACTGATTTATGGCTGGAGTTTTCCCACTTTCCAAAGCTGTCTTAATTTTTTGAAGATAGACGTTTATTAATGTTAATTGAAAAACATAGTACACTTACTGAAAATGTATAACTGCAAATATGCAGTTCCATAAATTACTATAAAGCAAGCACCGGAGTACCCACTGCCTGGGTATAAGATGCAGAAGCAGGTGGTGTGGTGGTGAAGGTGCTGGTTTCTGACATGTCTGACCACATTTTAGTCCCAGACCTAGCAGCTTGTTTTCCCTCATTCTTTCTCTCTGTCTCCCTCTGGTCAAATTGAGAAATCATAATAATAAATAAAATTAAATAATTATTTTTAAAAACAAAAGATATAGGAGCAAAAGTTGATATTACTACATACTGAGGAAGGGGAGAGAAGGAAAAGCAGTGCTTCTTACATTCTTCTTTCACATCATGGGCTATGAAATTACTTCATGTATATAACCTATGGTCTAAGACAATCTCTGCCCAGATTATTGTTGAGGATGAATTTCACCCATTTCTTTTGTCCAGTTTGCCAGAGGACACAGCATTTGCCAGGAGAAAAAGTGCGAAAACAAGAAAGAGAAAGAGGAAGATAGCACCCCCCAGTGGGATGTGATCACATCACACCACTTCTCTTCTGCCCCACTTGTCCACCTTGTTGGGATTCAGGGCATGCACACACACATGCTTGGCATGTTTCTCCAGCCACTGGAGCTTGAATTTGAACCACGTGTGGCCACAGTTAACCAACCACTTAGCTAACCACTAAGCCATGGGGTGACACCAATATAAGTTTTGTATTTAAGAACACTGTCAGTCTTCATTTCCCCAAATTGACCAACTTTGTGTTAATAAATACAAAATTAGGGTATAAATTAATCAAATTACCCATCAAAATTAGGTATCTGTAACTCTAGAAATAAAAGTTAAATCTCAAGTGTAAGTTTATTGGTCAAGTGTTGGCACAGTAGTTGATAGGAACCACATGTCAGAAGCCCTAGGTTTGTAACCCAAGACCTCCCCAAGCATACCAGGTGCACATGGGCATGCCCGGATCCAGGCACTCTGAGTCTGGGAGCGGACTGTAGCATGAGGATCCTGCTGGGGATACCTGTCTGTCTGTCTCATGAAACAATTTTTTTTTGGAGAGATTTTTTTTTCGCTATAGGGCGCATGCGCTCGCCAGACAGACAGAGACACAGAGACAGAAAGCGAGAAATCACCCCCCAGAGGAGATGGTCACGCCGCAATCCCTTCTCCTCCATTCTCCTCTCGGGATCTTGGGCACGCACACACACTCCCCAGCATGAGTTTTAAGCCACCAGGTCCGGGACGCGAACCACGGTCGACTACGTGGGAGTCCAGCAACATAGCCATTATGCTAACTGCTGGTTCCCTGTCTCATGAAATAATTTTTTAAAAATAATAAAGCACAAATCTAAAAAAATGTTGAGAAGAGAGAAAAACCAAGACATAATGTAGTATGAGGCCTATTGGTACTACTCAGCCATTTTCCCCAAGCCATAAATTAAGACCAAATCATTAAATGTTGTCAACAGTACATTAACAAAGAACCTCATGGGTAGCTCTGTTCCCCAGGAACCAGCCTCCAAAGCAAACCCTCAATAGTAATGTGGTCTTGACTTTTATGGTGTAATTCAACTTACTACTACTGCAATTTCCAGAACAAGTGGAAAAGTTCCTAAAACAGATTTTATGTGACATGATGCAAAAGACAGCAAAATTACTAGAAACCAACAGTTTACTACATAAGTAATAGGAAATTATCATAGGATTAAATAAATGTCTCCAACTTTGTCAATGAGTCTCACTTTTAAGGGGGAGGGTGGGGATCTGGACTCAGGTGTGTTCTGTAACGGTCCTTCTCATTAACTTTATTATATTTCAGGATCTCAATAGTGGCACAGGTGTACTGTGTGTGCCTGCAGCTCCCTTGTGAGGGCAGCTGCTGCTTTGTCTTCTACAGTTACTAAATGTGCACCTTACCACAGGACACTCTACTAAACTCAGAGGAAAACTATTATACATTTGTTCAAGAAACAAAAGTAGGAGAAAATGGATGAAGGACTGCATTTAGGGTCCAGAGGAGTGGAGAAGTAGTCACCTCTAATTCCGCTGCACCCAAATAGAACCTAAATCCTTGCTAAACCATTACAAGTCCATTCTGGAAATTATGTATTCTAATAATTGAAAAGAGTATTCTAAAATGCTCTTCAATTAAGAATAGATTTTTTTTCTCCAAAGATAATCTAGATGTGTTGAAGTTTAAAAACGAGTTTTTAAAAAAGTTTTTGCCATAAGGCACATGTGCCTGCCAGACAGAGAGAGAGAAAATGAGAAGTCACCCCCTGGGGGGATAGCCACACTGCAATCCCTTCTCCTCCACTCTCCTCTCCAAATTTTGGGCACACATGCACATGCCAGACATGAATCGCAAGTCATTGAGTCCAGGACTCGAACTGCAATAGGCCATGTGGAAGTCCAGTGCCTTAAGCACTACACCACCTGCTGGACCCCAAAATGAGATTTTTTTAAAAAAAAGCTAAGCCAACAAAATTAAAGACAGCTGATCCTCTGAGTTGATTATAAATCTTCACTTTTTTTTTTTCACTTTCATTTTATCTTCCTTTTTTACTTCTCATCCATGCCTAATGAACTTTTCATGAACCTAATATCTCCCAAGGCTTTTTTCTTTGCCCCCCCCCCTTTTTTTTTTAGGTTCTCTGAAGAAAGACAGAGACAGGAAGAGGAAAAGTGGGAAATCACCCCGAAGGATAGATAGCCATGCCACAATCCATTCTCCTCCATTTTCCTCTTGGGATTTTGGAGATTTGGAACATGTAATACATGAGTCCAGTGTGCTTTTTAAGCCACCAGACTCAAACCGTCATCATCTATGTGGGAATCCAGGGCTTTAACCACCATGCCACCTACTGGCCCTTATCTCCAAATTTTAAATCTGCTCTAGGAGGGACTTAAACCATTGCAGGATACATAGCAAAATGATAGACCTTGGGAGGAAAAATGACAGGAACAATAAAGAACTGAGTTATAACTAGCATCATTTCCAGATAAAGAAATAGAATGCCAGTTCCTGTAGTTCTGGAATTTCTCTCCTTAGCCACCTTCTACTCTCTGTGCTGCTGGCCTTCATGGTAGAGGTGGGGATTTCAAGAAAAAGTCAGGCAATCTAGGTGTTTGGCACCGCAGCAGGCTCTGCTAGGACTCAGGGATTTATGTAGTAATACTAAAGAATCTACAGAAACCCTGATAGTAAACTTAGCATTAACAAAATAAATAAATAAGGGCCAACAGATGGTACAAAAGTTAAGGAGGCTGAATCCCACATGGCCAACTGCTGTTCAACTGCTGGCCATTAGAAAGTCATGCCTGGCACATAGGTGTAAGTACACAAAGTCCCAGAGGAAATGGAGAAGTAACTGAAGTGTGGCCATTCCCCCCATACGTGTGTGGGGGAGTCACTTTCCCTCTCTGTCTTTCTCTCTGCCTTGCAGCAAAAAAGTTAAAAT